ATTATATTCAAATTGCCAAGTGAACAAATGATTCACTGTCTCTATCCCAGAATAAAATCTTTGCTTGTATGTTCTCATTAAAATATTCTACATAGTACCTTCCCAATATGTGGAACATATTATCCACTTATATAAAACCTCTCTCATTTAAAATATGATAATTCTTTGTTGGAGGACTGGGAGTGTACCTCCATGTCACTAATAAGTAAAGGAAGAAAGAATGTCAGAATAGGACACGGGAAATATGTGAACATACTTTTTAATCCCAGGTCCTGCCATGACTCTTAGCATAGGGATCAGATCTTCAGCATAGCGGCACATTGGACCAGTGCACTGAAAAGGCTCCTGGGCTTCTCCAGCCATGGGAAACTGACCCTGGTTGGAAACCACACCTGAAAAGTGAGATACTCAGATTACATCTCTAAAAACAACAAACAAAAAAAGAAATGATCTCTGCCTGGTGTATATCACCATAATGTTTAATATATCTAAAAAATCATTCTCCTGCTGAACTTCAAACCCCATTTATATTTCATGTTATTATAAATTGTTTATTATTAATAGACACATACATACTTATGGGGTGCAATTTGGTGTGGAATGACATGTATATATTGTATAATATTTAAATAATATTAAAGATCTATGTTCTCAAATATTTATCATTTCTTTTTTAATATTTTATTTTTCAGTTGTAGTTGGACACAATACCTATTTATTTATTTATATGTAGTGCTGAGGATCAAACCCAGGGCCTTGCAATGTGCTAGGCAAGTCATCTACCAATGAGCCACAACTCCAGCCCTAAATATTTATCATTTCTTTTTTTTAAAGACTAGAGAGAGAGAGAGAGAGAGAGAGAGAGAGAGAGAGAAGAGAGAATTTTTTAATATTTATTTTTCAGTTTTCAGTGGACACAATATCTTTTATTTTATTTTATTTTTATGTGGTGCTGAGGATGGAACCCAAAGCCAAGTGAACGCTTGCCAGGCAAGCGTGTTACTGCTTGAGCCACATCCCCAGCCCCATTTATCATTTCTTTATGGAGAAAACATTCAGWGTGAAGATGGCAAAGTGGAAGTAGGCCAAAAATCTCAAATTCTTCACAATCTGGAATTGAAGCTGATCAGAGAGGTGATTGACAGGTAGACAGGTTTATAGCAGCACAATCCACAATAGCTAACCTATGGAACCAACCTAGATGCCTGTCAACAGATGAATGGATAAAGAAATTCTGGTACATATACACAATGAAATAATACTCAGCCATGAAGAAGAATGACTTTACAATGTGTGCCAGTAAATGGATGGATCCAAAGGTTATCATGCTAAGTGAAATAAGACAATCCCCCTGCTTAAAAAAAGTCAAATGTTCTTTCTTATACATGGATACTAATACACAATAAGGGGAAGAGAAAGAATAGAAGTTTGGTGGATTAGAGGCAAATAAAGGGAAGGGGAGAGGGGATAATAATAGAAAAGATAATAGAAAACACAGTGGAATGAATCTGACATAACTTTCCTTTGTACACATATGAATCCACCACAATGAATCTTTACATCATGTACAACCATAAGAGTTGGATCCGAATTAGAATAAGATATATTCCATGTATGTATAAATAAGTCAAAATATACCCTATTTTCATGTATATCTACAAAGAACAAATAAAATTTTAAAAAAGAATACAAACCATAATAAAATGCTGGAAAAGATGTGGGAAAA